TAATACCCATGTCAATGTTTTTTAACTGGTGCATTTTCGTCATCGTTTTCTTTACCAGATTCGTTGTGTGCGTTCACCATCTTCTGTGGAACTCGTTTGGAATGGCTAGGTTTTGGTTATCGAGAAACAAGGACTGGGGCCTTCAAAAATTAACTCTGTTTTTTGGTCGGTAACTTTTCCAGAACCTATGGATAGTGTGGGAAGGAGCCTAGAAAAAGATTTACTTGCCATCCCCTTTTCTCTTTTTCACATTCACACCACCAGATCTTACCTGGATTTTCAACATGTACTGTGCGACATCGATGATGCCGGAGATGTTAGAACAGAAAGCTGTAATCCTGAAATTCAATCGCTCTCCCTGTTTACTGGATGGTTTGTCTGCTTTTTCTTATCAAATTTTTCTTTTTCTTTCATTCTTTGTTCTTCAATGACTTTTTTTTTTAATAGTTGTGCTTAATGGACGCAAAAGTGAGGGAGCTTGACGAAGAGCTGGCTGTGAAGAACGAGGAACTCGAAGCTGCCCTCTTTGAAAATAGAAAGCGTGGAGAAGAAATGAAACAATGGCAGTTTGCTGTCGCTGAAATGGAAGCCGTGCACTCAGAGATACGAACACTGGAACAGCAAGTTAGTTTGAATTCACATTTTTTGCTCACAACAACATCGATTGGGACTATCAATATTGGATATTTCGTGTAAATGTTAATTTATTCATAAACTTATGTCAAAAATTTACATGTCAGTAAAAAAACTAGTCGCATAATCTGCGCTGGGTCTGTGGAAACTTCCCAATAATATCAATAACATAATGTTACGGAAGTGCCGCGAAAAGCCGACAAGAATTGGTAAAAGATTTAATAAAAAGTGCGCCCTGCATATAGAGTCAGGGTTAACTAGAATGGAGTCCTTGCAAAGTTTCAGCCCGCGATATTCTCTGATTCCCGAGGTCGCTTTCCCGCCCAAAAACTTGCTTATTTTTTAGAGCTGTGGTGTGTATGCGCATGGCATAAATAAAGATATAAGTGCTCAAGTTGCCCTCTGAGTTGCCCTTTTATGGCTAACAAGTTACAGTTCGAAGGATTCGAAAATAATGGAAATGAGAGCGATCCTCCTTCCCGGTCATTTAAAAAAGGGGCTTCTTTCGCTGCACATGGGATTACAGCACCGTTTGTCAAAGCATTTTAGGAATTTATAGCGCTTCAGCAAGTGGAAAATTGAGCCTAGTTGGCTTGAATTGCTATTACAAAGATTTTCCAATCCCATTTAATCTTTTTTTCTTTTAGCTAAATGGTGAAAAAGCGGCGATGGAATCGAAATGGGCCG